GAAAGGAAGGAAGGAAGGAAGGAAGGAAGGAAGGGAGAAAAAAGAAAGAAGGAAAGAAAGAATGGACCCACAACCCTCTCCTACCATTCTACCTAACAAAGTAATCCTTTGCTGAGGACTGCGGCTGCCCTGGTGGAGCCCTGGTGAGAACCTAACACCGTCACATGCTGCTCCTCTGCATTTCATAGTCCCTCCTACAGCTTTGCCAGGTGCAGCACTTTTCCAGAGACAACCACATTTAGCGCTCACAGCTCCCAAGCTGCACTGTTGTCCGTAGCGAGGATGGGCAGATGGTTCTCTCAGATCTCTGACCTACTCTGAGTGCAGCGTTGAAGTGTTTGGGACCCAGTGTGTTAAAGATTTTAGTAAAACAGCTCTTACTGTTTTTACTTAAAGCTATTTAATTTTGGTCTGAGTCTCCCTAGGGGAGAAATGTCCCAGGGGCTAGACCCAAGGCAGACTGAGTAATAATCACTGAGCTATACTCAGAAACCTTAATCCACCAGCAGAAAAGATGGCCTTATCGCAAGCTGAGAATCTCTATGCTCAATTAAAGGGAAGAATTGACAAACTGTTTTTTCTTACTAAATATGTGGAGGAATAATGTTTAAATTGAATACCGAATTGAAGTGTACAGAGGGATAATATTTGAATTCGAAACTATTTTAATTTTTATTCAACAACTCTTTGTTACTCTTTCAGTTTTTTCATCATTAAAATGACATCACTGAACTTCCGGTTTCCAGTCCAACATACAAGGAGCTTGGAAGTCGCCAATCCACTCTGACAAGTAAAAAGCTGAACAAATTGAAAACTCAAAAATATCTTCATAGATCTGTCCAAGAAGTGAGGTCATAGGGCAAACCACTGTTTCCCAAATTAGACAGACACGCAGACAAATACAAAGAGTCACAACTTACTGGAGCAGAAACCCACAAGCAGAAACCTCAGTGGCAACTATGGCCAGGGTAGGGAAACCGAAACTATCATTGATGAATTTCTGGAAGCTCATTGTGGACAATTCTGATAGTTAAAAACTCCAGGGAGACCCAGCCACAGAGGAGGACCCAATACTTCGATGAGTTTTAACTGTAGGAGCCTTACCAGTTTCTCACAGTGACTATGGTTGGGGTAGCGGGGTGAGGGTGGGAGGAATACCTTTATGCTTCCAACAGAGGGAAAGGAAAAGGAACCTTTTTGAAATATGCCAGAGCATTCTGTTCTTAACAATGCCCAACCTCAAGAGAAATTCTTTCAGCAGAGCATAAACTATTGGAGTTTTAACAGAACCTAACTGACCTGGGGAAAAGGAAATACCCAACTCGAGCCCACTCTGGCCATAACGCCCCACGTAAGGAGGAAGTGGGAGGGCTGGGAAGCCCTCGTGAAGTTCAGGGGCACTCGCTGACAGGCTGAGACCTCGTTGTTAGCACTGCAGAGCACTCGCCCTCTCCCCATAATCTACCATCATGTTACTAGAGACCTATTTAAAGCAGCTACTTTCACCCAGTATGTCTTAGTCCACTGGGGCCACTATAACAAAAATACTATGAACTGGGTGGCTTATAAACAACAAAAATTTATTTTTCAGAGTTCTGGAGGCTGGGAAGTCCAAGATCAAGGTGCCAGTAGATTCAGTATCTGGTGAGGGCCCGCTCCCTGGTTCACAAATAACCATCTTCTGGCTGTGTCCTCACATGGCAAAAGGGGCAAGGGAGTTCTCTGGGGCCTCTTTTATAAGGACCCTAGTCCCATTTATAAGGGCTCCACCTTCATGATCTAATTACCTCCAAAGACTCTACCTCCAAACACCATCACATTGATTTCAACATTTGGCAGAGGCGGAGGGATTTTGAATTTTAGGGGGACACAAACATGTAGCACAGACTGAATCATGAATGACTGTCAAGAAAAAGAAAATTACAAGTCATTCTAAAAGTTTGAAAAGAGAGCACTCATCAGACCCAGACTTAGATGTGGCAAGATATTAGAATTATCCGACCAGGAATTTGAAACAACTATAATTAATATGCTGAAGGCTCTAGTATAAAACAGACAGCATGCAAGAACAGATGGGCAACATAGAGCAGAGAGATGGAAATTCTAGGAAGGAATCAAAAAGAAATGCCAGAGGTCAAAAACACTATAATAGGAATGAAGATACAACTCAGGAAAGAGTTTGAGGATATCTCAATAGAAACTTCCAAAACTGAAAAGCAAAGAGAAAAAGGAAGAAGAAGGAGGGGGAGGGGGAGGGGAGGGGGGAGGAGAAGAAGAAGAAGAAGAAGGAGGAGGAGGAGGAGGAAGGAGAAGGAGAAGAAGAAGAAGGAGAGAGAGAGAGAGAGAAGAGAGAAGGAGAGAGAGAGAGAGAGAGGAGAAGAAGGAGGAGAAGAAGGAGAAGAAGAAGAAGGAGAAGAAGAAGGAGAAGGAGAAGGAGAAGAAGAAGACTAAAAAGAATAGAATATCCAAGAACTACGAGATAACTACAGTTAATCTTTGAACAATGCTGACCCCCTGTGCAGTCAAAAATCCACATATAACTTTACAGTTGGCCCTTTGTATCTGCAGATTCAACCAATTGCACAATGGTGTAGTACCACAGCATGGATTTATTGGAAAAAAAACCCACATAGAAGCAGACTCACATGGTTCAAACCTGCGTTGTTCAAGGATCAACTGTACTGTGAAATAATAGAAAATACATATTGGTCTCTGCCCCTAGTTCCTGGCATGAAGCTCCTAAAACCCTTGTAATTTCCTAAGAGATAAGAATATTGAGCGTCTTTTCTTCTACTATTTGGTCTTTGACCCCAGTCACAGACATAGAGCGCCTAAATCTACTGGAATTCCTGGGTAATAGGGGCATCTTTTGTTCTGATGGAGCAGCTTGTGGCGGGCTCCTAAAAAGCTTCAGAATAGGAGCTGGTCACCAGAACATCAGGTCGTGATTAGAAGCTGGAACTTTCCACCCCAGCCATATCCTCAGGGAAGGGGAGAGGAACTGGAGACTGACTTAATGACTGATCATGCTTACATGATAAAGCCTCCATTAAAAAAATCCCCAAAGTACATGGTTCAGGGAGCTTCTGGGTTGGTGAACACATCCATGTGCCAGGATGTGCACCTCAGTTCTATGGGGACAGAAGTTCTTGCCCTCGGGACCCTTCAGGACCTCACTCTATTTATCCCTTTATCTGACTGCTCATCTGTACCCTTTCTCATACCCTTTCTCACATCCTTTTCATAAGTGTTTCCCTGAGTTCAGTGAGCTGTTCTAGCAAATGATGAAACCTGAGGAGGGGGGCATGGAAACCTCCAATTTATAGCTGGTTGGTCAGAAGAAAGAGTGACAACCTGACACTTGCAACTGACGTCTGAGGTAGAGAGGGCAGTCTTCTGGGACCAAGCCCTTAACCTGCGGGGTCTGCACCAACTCCAGTTAGTGTCAGAATTAAAGTGAATCGTAAGACACCAAGCTGGTATTTCAGAGTATTGCTTGGTGTATGGGAAAGTAACCTCACATATTTGGTTTCAGAACTGAAGTGTGGTAGTAGGGTGAGAGTAAGGAAAACCAGGGAGTGTTATTTCCTAGATAACTAACAAAGTTGTAATATACATGTAATGGGAATGCAAGAAAGGAAAGAAAGAAGGAAGGGATGGAGGGATGGGGATGGAGGGGGAAAAGGGAGGGAAGGAGGAAGGAAGAGGATGAAGAGGAAGAAGGGGGAAGAAAAAAAGGAAAAGAAGAAATACATGAAGGAATAATGACTGAGAATTTCCCCCAAATTAATATCAGACACCAAACCACAGATCCAGGAAGCTCAGAGAACACTAAGCACATTATGCAAGAAATAAAAAGCAAAAAACCAAACCAAACAAACCACAAAGATATCTAGGCATATTATATTTAAACTGTAGAAATCAAAGATAAAGAAAAAAATCTTGAAAGGAGCCAGAAAGTAAAAACACCTTACCTATAAAGGAGTAAAGATAAGAATTATACCCAACTTCTTCTCAGAAATCATGCAAGACAGTGGGAAGTCTTCTCAAAGTCAAAACAACAATAACAAAAAGAGCTAAATGGCTGAATAAGGTGTCTCTAATTTGCATCTCCCTCAACAACACTTTGGCATCCATCCACAGATGAAAGTGTTTTTGTGGGAACTGTGGGATCCAGCACCATATGCCAAGGGACCCAGAAGGAGTCTCACCACCAGTGTATTGAGTGATCGGCATACAGACCTCAGCCCTGGCTGTGGACCCTGCAGTGGCTCATAAACCAGGTCCAGTCCCTCTTGGCTATGCTCTGAAAGTCCCTGGAGAACACTGTGTTAGGCAACCACACAGAGATGAGAGAGATTTGTGGAAGTCTAGGAGTCCAGCAGAGAAGTTCCAACACTGCTGGAGGAAAAAAAAAAAGTTTGGACACATTAGGGAAGGTAAGGGGAACAGTTGGTTTACTCATGTCACCCCTCCTCCATGGCAGCACAGCTTAATGTCAAAAGAGAACTTCTCTGCCCATGATTTCTCTTCCAGGAGAAAGTCAGAGTGTATGAATGAGTACCCAGCTTCCTCAAGATGCAGACAAAGAGTTCCGTTTCTCTTTCATCCTATCCAGAATACTGCACAAAAGGCTGGTGGGTAGATGCTGGGAAAGTAGCGTATAGGACTCTTGGAGGGTTTTAAAGGGATGTGGATCCTACCAATAGAACCACGGACTCCATCAGGAAGCCCACCTATGAGCCACTAGGATACCTCATTCACAGATCACCTCAACTGTGTCCAGATACCCCAGCATTCCACCCACTTCACCTTGACACACTCCCATCCTGTGGCTGGCTCTTTGTACTTTGACTGGCAGTGAGAGCAAGCTGTGGCAGATGGCTTGTGAGTATACACAGAAAGCCAGACTCAATCTATAGCCCAAGGAGAAACCACAAGCTTGAGCTTTAGCATGACCCTTTGGAAAGCAAAGGGAGGCCGTCAGCACTTGGCCTGGTGCATTGCAGGATCGAGAGAAGACATGCAAGCTTAGAGATTCTGCCATAAGAAGGAGCAAGAAGCGTGGAGCAGAGGTATCCATAGAAGGTCTGAAAAAGTCTCAGAATCTCCAGCAGGACTGACAGAAGTTATTTCTCTCCCAAAGCCAGTCAGTAAAGACTGAGGGACATGTGTGAAGACAGTAACACAAGACTTCAAGAAACATGAAAAAAAATCGAGGAAACAAGACCCTACCAAAGTGTCACAATAATCTTCTAGTAACCAACCCCAAAGACATGGAGATCTGTGATTTACTTGATAAAGAATTCAAAACAGCTGTTTTAAGGAAGTTCAATGAGCTACAAGGAAGCAAAGAAAGACAATTTAATGAAATTGGGAAAAGAATACATGAACAAAATAACAAGTTTAACAAAGAGACTGACACTGTTTAAAAAACAAAACAAAAAAAAAACACCAAACAGAAATTCTAGAGCTAGAGAATACACTGAACAAGATGAAAAATGTAACAGAGAACATCAACAGCAGAATGAATAAAGCAGAAGAAAGAGTTTGTGTATTAGAAGACAGGACCTTTGATATTATCCAGTCAGAAGTAAAGAAAAAAGAATGAAAAAGAATGAGTAACTCTTACGTGACCTATGGGATACCACCAGAAAAAAAAAATCTGCAAATTATTAAGAGTCCTACAAAATGAAGAGAAGGGGAAGGGAATAGATAACTTATTTAAAGAAATAATGGCTGAGAACTTTCCAAATTTGGGGAGAGATTTGGACACCCAAGTTCATGAAACTCATAGGTCCCCAAAACGAACTCAAAGAGACATTCTTCAAGACACATTATAATAAAACTGTCAAAAATCAAAGAAAAAAAGAGAATCTTAAAAACAATAAGAAAAAAGAAGTGTGTAACTTACAATGGAACCCCCAGAAGGCTATCAGCAGATTTCTCAGCAAAAATCTTACAGGTTCAGGAGGGAGTGAGATGATACAGTCAAAATGCTAAAGAAAAAAACTGCCAACCAAGAATATTCTATTGGCAAAGTTGCCCTTCAGTAATGAAGGAGAGAGAATGTTTCCCCAGATCAAAAAAAAAAAAAAAAAAAAGCTAAGGAAGTTCATCACCACTAGACCTTATAAGAAATGCTAAAAGGAATTTTTCAAGCTGAAATGAAAGGACTTCAGTTAGTACCATGAGACCATATGACAATATACATCACTGATAATGGTAAAGATATAGTCAAATTAGAAAACTTTAATATTGTAATATCTGTTGACCACTGAACTCTAGTATAAAGCTTAAATGGAAAAATATTAAAATATATATAGCGACAGTACTTTGTTAATGATGCACAACACAAAAAGAGGTATATTGTGAATCAGAAACATAAAAGGGAGAAGAGTTAAAGGGTAGATTTCTTTTTACCATGATCAAAGTTAAGCTATAAGCATAAGATACACTTTTAGGTATATAGCATCATATATATGATGTTTTATGTAACTCTCCCATAAATTTTGGTATCTTGTGTTTCCATTTTTGTTTGTTTCAAGCTTTTTAATTAATTACTGTAAAGCGACAGTAATCACAACAATGTAATATCAGTGAAAGAACATACAAATCAATAAATTGAACAGAATAGACAGCCCAGAAGTAGACCCACATAAATATAGCCAATTGATCTCTGACAAAGGAATAAAGACAATACAATGCAGCATAGATGAGTCTCTTCAATAAATGATACTAGAACAACTGAACATCCACATTAAGGGGTTAACACCTAAACATATCCACAGCTCATACAAGTCAACATCAGAAAAACAAACAACCTG